GAGAAACAAATGTGCTAATACCCACGTGGAAACAGAGGCTGGGAGAAGCCAAGGGGTTTGTCTGAAGTCCCATGACCAGTTGTTGGTAGAGAGGGACTAAAATACAATTTTTTTGCCTCTTTATCTGGTGCTCTTTCTAAGGCACGGGGCAAGTTCTAGCCCCTGTCTTCTCTGTCATGTGAAGTCAGGGCTGGCAGTTAATGGGACACACCAGGGAGGTGGAAGAGCCAGCACCCACCCTGCTTAACTGATGGCTGAACCATGCCAATCATTATTGATCCTGAATATCACCCAATCAGAGTTGTGGCTTTGTCTTCTAGAAATGCATCCTTTTCTTCCTTTTCCTACCTGGTTCGCCATTCTTACTCTTTTCCCTGTCAAATCACAAATTTCTTGCCCCCAAAGAATCACATTTTCTCTCTCTCCTTATATGTAAGATGTAATTACAAATTACGGTCTAGTTGCTAACCTTGCTTCTTATTAATACCTACAAAGCTTTCTCTATGCTCCTAGTCAATACTAAGCCTCTCTCCTTGCAGAAGCTAAGGCATTTAGTGGTTATAAATACTACTGTATCTCATCTGTGACCACATCTCTTCTACAGTTAAAACTGCCAGAATATTAACATAGAATTTCAAAAGATTAAGATATACAATTACATTCCATTTCAATGGTTTGTATGTTGCTGCAGATATTTGTTTCTGCTCGTAATTACTAACCTACTACCTGATTTTTTTTCTTTCCTCTGAGGTTATAATGAGAAGTCAGAAAGATGGACAGGAAGATTAAGAAAGGGGTGGGTGGTGAAAAATGTAATACAGAAGAACACCTTTGTGAAAAATAAGAAAGATTTTAACCTGTTATTTATTGGGAAATGTCTCACATCATAACTGGTCAACACTGCTCATGTTCTAAGGGTACAATGGTCTCTAATTTGTACAGAGGTAGTCTGTCAAACCTACTTTAAAAGGTTTAGGGAATAATCTTATTTTGATCATGTTTTGATGACTTTAAGGCAATTCTGCATTCTGCATTCTGCGCTGTTGGAAAACTCTGCTGAACGTGCCACATCCTTTGGTTTCAGTTGGTTCTCAGGGCTTCTTGCCAAAGAGCCATGCACTGTAGAAGGAAGCTCAAAGGCCCCAGGGTCAGCAAGGCATGGGGTTGAGGCCCTTAGTAAATCACTTAAACTCTCTGAGCCTGTTTCCTCATCTGTAGCATAGGGAAAATAATCTCCATCTCATTAAGGTCATTGAGAACATTAAGTGAAATAATATATGTCAGATTTCTGATTCTCAAACTACTGTAGCTCCTACTGAGATCCATTTAATAGAAAGCAGAATTCTCCTAGGTTTCTTAAAGAATGTATCTAATGCAGTTTGCATTCATCAATTTTTTTCAAAAAAAAAAAAAAGCAATTTAATCCATATCTTTAAAAAAGAAAAGGGCCAGGCGAGGTGGCTCACGCCTGTAATTCCAGCACTTTGGGAGGCTGAAGTGGGTGGATCACAAAATCAGGAGATCGAGACCATTCTGGCTAACACGGTGAAACCCCGTCTCTACTAAGAATACAAAAAATACTAGCCAGGCGCGGTGGCGGGCGCCTGTAGTCCCAGCTACTCAGGAGGCTGAGGCAGGAGAATGGCGCGAACCCAGGAGGTGGAGCTGCAGTGAGCCGAGATCGCGCCACTGCACTCCGGCCTGGGTGACAGAGCAAGATTCCATCTCAAAAAAAAAAAAAAGAGAGAGACTCCGTCTCAACAAAAAAAAAAAAAAGAAAGAAAGAAAGAAAGAAAAGGAAAAGAAGGAGGGAAAAAAGTGAATACTCTTTCTATTCCTTTCCTTCCCTTGCACACATCACTTTACACTCCTACCCTGCACTGGCAATATTGCTTTACACTAAAAACACCTCAAATGCTGAGACTGTGTCTCACTTATGGTCTTCCCAAAACTAGCAGAGTGCCTAGCACGGACTATGCACTTCATATGCACTTGCTATTTTTCTTCTTGATGGGCAACCACTACCAGAAAAGTTAAATCTCAGGGCTGTTGTTAGTGGATGTTCTCCCTTTCGATAGGGTTCTGCCTGTGATTTTGACAAAGTAAGTCTGCATTGATGCTACGGAAAATGGGATGAAAGGGAGATCCAAGTTTTCAAAGTAAATAGAGGCAAAGAGCAGCAAGAATATGAAAAACAACTGGGGCATTTACACGGAGTCCAAGTATCACTCTACAGATTGATTACTATTTTCAAAGTGATAAATGAATCTGTACAGTGGAAAGACACCAATCACTCACTCAACCAAATGATTAAACTTAACATCACTAGTGAACAGCAAGGTGCATGTAATATAAAACACCCAGCATTGCCTCTGACATAGTCAGACCAAAAATATTTTGTCTGAATTTAATCAAGCCTCTAGACTGATCTTCTAGTATACAAGAAATATAGGGAATGGAGGATCAAGGTAAGTCACACCATGAGGAAATGATCATCTAGAATGTGGAACATTAGCCTTGCCCCTTCAAAAAGTCTATGCCATGGAAAAAGAAAAATGCTGAGGCACAGTTCTGGATTATAGAAGGCTAAAGTGGCTAACAGCCAAATGCAATGCATGAATGAATCTTGATTAGTTCCTCATTTTAAAAAAATTATTATTAGCCTGGGAAACATGATGAAACTGTGTCTTCACAAAAAATTAGCTGGGCATGGTGGCACTGGTCTATAGTCCCAGCTACTTGAGAGGCTGAAGTGGGAGGATTGCTTGAATCTGGGAGGCAGAAGTTGCAGTGAGCTGAGATTGTGCCACTGCAGTCCAGCCTGGGTGAAAGAAAGACTCTGTCTCAATCAATCAATCAATAAATATAAAAGACTTTCAGAGGACAATTGAGGAAATTTGAATGGGCCTGAATATTTAATGATATTAGGGAATGATTATGAACTTTCTTAGGATGTCGATGTTCCTTCAGTTATGTAAAAGAACACCCTCATTTTTAGAAGATGCCCTAGCAGTGTCTGCAATTACTTTTAGAGGGTTTAGCCTCCCATCCCCCAAAATATATTTCTATACATACATATACTCACGCACAGGTTGATAAAGCAAGCATGACAAAATAAACAATCATTGGGTCTACATGGTAGGTATACTGGTGCTCATTGTACTATTGTTTCAACTTTTCTGTGTGTTTAAAATTTTGTCTTAATAAATGTTAGAAAACACGAAGGCAAGGTAATAAGCAAGCTATTCTTCTCTACCCAGAAAGAAAATTCCTTTCTCTTGCAGGTAGCAATAAAAATAAGTTATAAAACTCTTTTTCGGACCCATTTCTGACCCAGTTAGTGGGGATTACTGAGGACTCAAACACCCCTCTATAACAGCTTTTGGGAACAGTAACTATACTGAGGACAAAGCATAGCCCTCTTATATTGGATATCATTTACACTGTCCTTTGAAATCTTACTATTCCCAAATCAAGGGTCCTATCAGCACATCGCTAATAAACTGCTAAATATAGCTAGTATTAGTTTATTTACCATTTTAATTTTTTTAGGAGATGGGGTCTCACTATGTTTCCCAGGCTGGTCTCACGCCCCTGGGTTCAAGCAGTCCTCCTGCCTCAGCCTCCTCAGTAGCTTGGACTACAGGCACACACCACAACACCCGGCTTCCATTTCAGTTTTTTTCAGTAAAGTAAAATGCTTTAGCTTGTTTAGTTTGCACTCCAATAGAGAAACAGAAAAACAAAAATCTCATCTGGTATGACAGCCACTGATCCTTCTTAGCGGTTTAAACCCATCCCTTGGAAGTTCAGTTTTGAAGAACCAGCTACTACAGGGAAGTGCTGACAATCTTGAATGTCTAGAATATAAATTTTCATACCCTCCGCAACTGCTGCCTGGCCTAACAGGAGCCCCCTGTACTTAACTTAAGCACCCTGTCCACTGATGCTGACTAATGCAAGTCAACACAACAAATCCCAGAGCCACAGCTTTTCAGAAAAATAGGAATGGATTCTTCTCCCAAGTTCATACAATTGAGGGTTTTTGACAGCAATAAAAATAGCTTTGGATAAACCTTATAACCTGTGGTGTTGCTTCTTCATAAAGATAAGCCAGTCATTTGACATTATTAAAATTTTTTTTGTTGTTTTTAGACAGTGGTGCAGGTGACACATTAAAAAAAAAAAAAAAAAAAACAGGTATGACTCCCAGTGCTTTGGGAGACCAAGGAGGGTGGATCACCTGAAGTCAAGAGTTCATGACCAGCCTGACCAACATGGTGAAACCCTATCTCTACAAAAATACAAAAATCAGCCAGGCATGATGGGTACCTCTGATCCCAGCTACTCAGGAGGCTGAGGCAGGAGAATCGCTTGAACCTGGGAGGCAGAGGTTGCAGTGAGCCGAGATCATGCCATTGCACTCCAGCCTGGGTGACAGAGAGAGACTCCATCTTTAAAAAAAAAAAAGAAAGAAAGAAAGAAAAGAAAAGAAAAGAAAAGAAAAGAAAGAAAAAGAAATACAGGTATAAAGGCAATAAAGCATGATGTATGTAGTCTGGCCACGCCACCATCCCTGCCGCTTTGGACAGAAATCAGAAGCAGCAGCAGAAAGAAGCAGAAAATCATTCAAAACTTTACACACGAGGTACTGCTATTCCTTCCTCAACAAGTGTATTAGAACATAAACTTGACAAATTGGAGCTTTTCCATAGGTAGGTAGCAACAGAGAGAAGCATCACCCCACAGTTTAAAGTTTATGTTACTTGGGAAAAGACAAACATGAAGTATAAGTCTGAAAATTAGTTTCAAGAACTCTCAACTAACTGATTCTCTCCCAAACTGAAAACACACCACAGCAAGGCTAAAACATAAAATAAAGTGAACTTTAACCTATAATACACATGAAAATGTGAAAGAAAATGCTTCCTTTTGATTTTTATAAGGAAAGTAAGTTTCAGTGTGAGTGAAACATATCTGAGAGAACAGGAAAGTCTTACCTAGGTACAAAGAGGAGTTCTCTTTCTTGACATTGTCATCTAAGTAGGTTGGTCCCAGGGTATAAATAGGTGTGGAGCCCATTCCAATGAGAATCTGCGCGCAAATGAATAAAGCCACATAGACCCAGTGATTATTTCCTCCCGAGTCCTTCGGACACGCCGGAGGCTCCAAAGTGGCGGTGGAGTTGCCACCCTGACACAGGCCGTCGTTGGGGGCCGAGGCGTTCAACTCTTGAATCTGGTAGGGGGGCGAGATGAAGTGAGGTAAGGCGAAGAGGGCTGCCCCGAAGGCGATGAGGAGTCCACCCACGGCCAGCCACAGGGGCCGCCGACCCCGGCCGCCGAAGTAGCTGACGAACACCACCACCACCAGGTTCCCGATGTCGAAGCAGCTGACCAGCAGCCCTGACTCGGAACTCTTCAGACTGTAGCGCCTTTCAATGGTGGTAATTACGCTGCTCAAGTACCCAGAGACCATCAACGCCTGGATGAAGGTCAGAAAGCACATGCACACCAGGAAGCAACGAGAATCCGTGAGGACCACGTAGAGGCACCTTCTCTTCTGGAGCGTGGCCAGGGCGGAGGACACCGAGAAAGTTTTGCTGAGATCCACCTTGTGGTTACAGTCCCCGAGCCCCGCCGAAGTGGACGGGGCAGAGGGACTGGGGGCCAACTGGTTCGGGCCTTGCTTCAAGTCCTGGTGGCCAGAAGAATCCGCACAGCCAAAGGCCGGCTTGGTGTCTTCATTAGTGGGACTGAGGATCGGCCGGCAGGAGGCGCTGCTGAGGACCGGTAAACTCTTAGACCTGAAGGTCTCTGGCTCGCACTTCTCTTGGACAGCTCCTGCGGTAGCCGGCGCCTCCAGCTGCTCTCCCGGCCCGGGCTGCAGTCCAGTGCCTTCGTCCATGGCTCTTACAATTCAGATTCGATAGCTGATGGCACCCAAGCACTCCGGCACGTTTCATCCACCGGCACGAGGGGCCGAAGCCGGGCCCACTCAGTCTTGCCCAGCTGGGACTGGGGCTGGGGGCGCAGGGCCGCGCAGCAGGGCATCCTCACCAGCTGGAAGGCGCCCAGTGCATCCTGACCACAGATGAGACTCCAAGGCTCCGCAGCCGCGTGCCACCGGGGGCAGGGGTCCGCGCGGTCCTGCGATGAGCCCTGCTCGGCGTCCCTCTCCTGGAGGTAGCTTGAGGCAGGCGTCTCGCGCGTCCTAGGCTCATCCCCTCCGCCGCCGCCGCCACTCGGCCCGCGGCCAGGAGCGAGTGCACCCCGCGCCGGGCGTGGGGGGCACTTAGCGCTGCTGTCCGCACCGCATCCCACCTCGCCGCGCCAGGGGTACCGGGTCCTCGCTGCGTGGGCTCGCGGCACCCTCGGGAGTGAAGCTGCCAACCTGCAAGGCAGAGAGAGGGCGGTCAGCGAAGAGCAGCTGCGACTTGGGGCTAGCGTCCCAGCGCCCCGAGGACCAGCGTTGGGCGACCCTGAACGGTCCCTAGAGGAACAGAGGAGTGAGACGGGAGCGGAGCCCCGAAGGACTAGGCAGCAGCCAGCCGGTTGCAGTCTCTAGTCCGGGAACAATAAGCAGCAGGCGGTCGGCGGAGACTCTACCTCATTGTCTGCCGCGGACCTGCCCCCGCCCCGCCCCTTTTGCCTTAAACATTGCGTTTGCTTTTATATGTTAATAATTATCAACCTGGCAGCTCTGACTCAGAGGCAGTGTCTTTTATTCGAGTGAACTAATTGCAACCTTTTCGTACTCCTACTCCATTACTCAAAATAGAAAATGCCCAAAAGAACAAAGGAAACTTTTTCACAGACACACAATGTATTCCCTGTCCCAATTTTTTATAAAAGGAAAAAAGAGGGTGGAGGTAAACTACGTGTGTAGAAATGTGTGTGCACACTGGTGTGCGCTGGCACGTGTGCGCGACTAGATTTGAATGTGCTCCACCAGAGACACGCATTCAAAGCCGAAAGCAGCAGCAAAAAGGTCAACATGCTTGCCTCTTTATTCCCAACACCAAAAATAACCCCCTGCCCGAAAGAACTCTTCAGTTACAAATACCAGGGGCATTCGAGGCTGTGGACCGCACTAAGTCCCAGAGCGCAGTATCAAACGAAACCGAAAATCCGTCTGCTTTGCCGAGAGCTAGGGAAGCCACAACCAAACAAAGAGATCCCGGCACGCTGTCAGAGCGCGCGCGAGGAGCCCACGGAGCCGGCTGGGCGCACGCCGGGCGGCGGGGAGGTGTGCTATTGACTGAGCGCACCCCGCGAGCGTGGGCCTGGGGAGCGTGCGCGCGTGCGCGGTCACACACACACACGCACACACACAGACACACACACCCTGGCGTGTTGGAACCGCTCTCGCGATCCCGCACCCAGCTTGAATTCAGCGAGAATTGAAAACAGGTGTGCCCCCGGGGTAAGCCCCCGCCCCTAATCTTGGGGACCCCCACTCCACTCCTCCAGCCTGGGGCGAGGACGGGGGTCAGAATATGCACCAGGTGGAAGAGAGCCGAGCTTCACTACACTGGGTTTCATTTTGCGGCGCGCCTTTGTGATGCTGCTGAGAAAAGAAAACAGGAAGGGCAAGGGAGAAAGGCAGAGAGGCTGGGCGGCCAAGGGTGGCGTCTCCGGCATCTCCCTCGGCTGCGCTGGGCCAAACCCTCTCCCAGATTCCCGGCCTGCCAGCCACTCACAATCCCGGGCTTCCCCGCCGCTGCCTTGCCCAGGCGCCTTCCCGGGGAACCCCACCAGCCGCTGCGTGAGGAGCCGGGGAATCCCAGCAAACTCTCGCCGCGCGCTGGGGGCGTCCGAACCCCCTGCCTGGGCGAGCGCCCTCACAGCAGTGCAGACTCGGATGGACACGCGGATCCCGGCAGGGAGCTCTTGAGCAGGCGTGGAATCCCAGGGACACCCCCTGCGCGCACATCACACACACGCACACCCTCCACACACACGCATACACACACACAGCCCGTGGGAGGACAAGACAGCCGGCGACAGCCCGCCGCGCTGCCCGGGCGCTCAAGCCGCGGCTACTCACTAGCGAGTCTGTCAGTCTGTCTGCCTGTGAGTGGAGCGGCGGGAGGGGGGCACTGAGCTACGGGAATAGTTGGGAGCCGCGTGGGGAGGCAGCCTCGGTCCAGCCGAAGAGAAATCAGTGAATGAGGCTGTGACTCAGACTGAACTCTTCCCCCCACCCCTCGCCTGTCACCCAAGCCTCTCCTCGGCTCCAAACAGACACACGCGCACAGAGACGCGCCCGGAGAGGAGCAGCCGAGGGCGCAGGCGCGAGGGCAGCCACCCAGCCCAGCCCTCCCACAGCCAGCCATCCCGCTGCCCTTCACCTGCGCGGCCGCGGGGGCCGAGGAGCGCTGAAGCCCCGAGGGGGCCGGTCTCTAGAAAAGTCAGCGGCTGAGGCTGACAGCCCACTCTGAATAAATAAATCATTTCTGAGTGTTTATTACGTGCCTTGGGCACCCACCATGTCTCATTCACCATAGTAGGTTCTGGGACCAAAGATAAACAACACAAGATATTTGGTAGGAAGAAACCTCTGACTTGTGGGGAAAATACTCATGTAAATGGCTTAAAACAACGTGGTACATTCTATGCAGCCTGCTACTGGAGAAGCCAGTATCCATTAGCCTTCATTTCCACGCAGCAGGAAGAAGAGAGGCACCGGGGCATGGTACTGCCGGTCAATAGGTAGATGAGCTGCCGGGAAGATTGCAGGGATGGGGCACAGGACCAGACTGCAAGAGTGGCTGAGTAGGAAAGGACACCACGGGTTTCCTAAGTTGTGTACTGTCAATACTGTGGAGGCAGTGATGTTCCGACTTCCTCACCAGAGAGCTGGCATTGGCAGTGACAGGTAGACAGATGTGAGGCCACACCGCAGGCACAGAAGTGGGTTGGGAGGCAGTCTGAAAGCCAAATGTGATGAGGCATTGGCAGGGGGCATGGAGAGGAGGGAACTGGGCAGCTGATGCAATCTGCAAGAGGAGAAAACGGGCCAAGGTAGGATGACTCCCAAGTTTCCAGCACCAAGTTGGGTGACTAGGTGCCTGACAGCCAATAAAAGCACAGGGGGAGAAACATGCTTGAGGGGAAAGATGGTTCTCATCTACATGTGTTGAGTTTGAAATGTTTGGGGGACATCCTGGTGTACATGTCCCATAAGCCATTGGACACACAGGAGGTTTGGACTAGGAATATTGACCAGTAGTCATCAGCCCAAAGGTGGCACAAGAAAGGGTGGAATGAGTAGGGAAGATCATTCAAATTGTGAAGAGATCTAGGAGAAGAGGGAACAGCCAAAAGAGGGAGACTGGAAGCAAGGTTAGAGAGGTATGGGACACATCAGAAAAGCCAAAAGAGCAGACAACTGTAAGAAGGGAGGTGTCAGATGTGCACAGACTGCAGGGAAGACAAACAGGATGATAACTGAAAAAAAAAAAAAAAAGAAAAGAGTATCTGAGGGCACTGGTGACCACTGACAGAGTAGGATAATGCTCTAATGGAGGAAAGGAGGTTGCTCACAAGTACCAGTGACAATGCTGGCCACTGCTGCCAAGTCGAGGCCCCTCCACTGGCCCTTGGCCTTACCCAATGAGAGCATTGTCTCCATTTTACAGATGTGACAAGTGTAGAGAGGTTAAGTAACTTTATATAGGCACACAGCTGGTCTGTAGACAATATGAACCAATGTGCTCCAAAAGACCATATTCTTACTTAACCTCTTAACCCTGACTCTCTTCTCTCTCTCCTGTCATTGAACAGCATCCTGACTCATCAATGCACCTTGATTCTGTTGATTACCTCCCTTTAGTCCAACAACCATCTTATCTACAGCGATCCTTAGAGAACAATTAAGGCCAGTTGACAGTAAAGAACACTCAGTGTGTACTTGAAGTCCATGCTGAGACAGAATCAATCTTCTGGCAGCTGCAAGACTGACCTATCAACCGAGCCATTTCTTCATTCCCTGCCATTGTCTCCTTCTCTTGAGATCGCCATCAGGCCCAGTCACTTTTCTACAAACAGGCAATAGGACTCCTGCTGCCACCCTGCCCAGATTTTAGTCTTCTGCTGATAAAGTGGGCAAAGATATGTGGCACTTCCTGAACCTAAATACTCTTCTGAGCTCATTCTAAATCCAAACAGAATCAAACTACCTCCTATTACCTCCTTCCAAGCTCTGTGCCCCATTCTCTCATTTCAGTCTCAGCTCCAGATATCAGTAAATTCAATGTGATGCATCAGGTGCCATCGCAGGACTTCCCTACTTGAAAAATCAAGCAATCATGTCCCTGAAACACACTGTCTTTATTCATGGTCAATTACTATAGTTAAAGTAGATGCAACTCTAAGAACCTATGGATTTTTTTATTGCCACTAATAGAAAGGTCATGATTTACAGACAAAATTTTTGAAGTTCCGATTTTACTCACATAAGAAACAAGAAGAAAACATTCAGCAAGAAGCGTTTCTTTTGCTTTATCGTTCCCAGTTAAATATGACTTTAAAAAAGACAAAATTTTAAAAGGTCTGATTTTACTCACATATGAAACAAGAAAAAAACATTCAGCAAGAAGCATTTCTTTTGCTTGATCTTTCCCAATTAACTATGACTTTGAAAAAGACTAGCACGCCTCATTAGCCCTAATTGTCTGATTAATACAAAGAAACGGACTCATATCATGGGGTTCCACTACCCCTAAGATAGTGTTTACTACCCTTATTTCACTCAATGTTTACAGTTAGTTTGACCAGAATGCCTGCCTTGTTTGACATTTTGGGAGAGGAAGCATGTGACTGTAAACCCTCTTCAAACTTTCAGACTTAACGTTTACTTCTTCCAAGTCCATCAAATTTGTACATAAATGACTTCTTTTCTGATCTTCTTATAACAAGTATGTAGCCTTTGAAATTTCCAGGGCAGTCTACAGGTTTAAAATCTGGCCGTCCTGGAGAATGGGCAGAAGAAAACTGAAGAGAGCCTTTTCCCACCGCCCTTCCCTTCCTTCTTAAAGAAGGTTCCCTTCAGAGGTCTCCCAGATACAACAAGAACCGAGTTCTTGGTTCAGAATATTTTGTAGGTGCAAAACATAATACATAGTTGCCAGTACCATAATTGAATTAGGTGTTGGTTGTTTAACAGGAAACACACTGGATCTTTAAGATAGCCCCTTAATAGGACTTGGCATATATACCCTTCCTTAGAAGTGAATTTCAGGTTGGATAAAACCTGAGGAGGAACAGATCTGGCCCTGGGGTACAATGAATGCAGGCCATCACTCCAACCCTGGTGGCTTGAGGGCCCTGCAAGTGCTAAAGGAGTATAGTGACCAGCTGTGTCCAAAGAGACTTAGCACTGCAAGTCCCACACCGCAGGAAACCACAGTTCCATGAACACCTGGAGGCTTGGCTCCCTGTAAAGAAACTGCCACCTCCCTTAATATAAGTAAGCCAGATTAGCTGAGTACTGTGGCTCACATCTGTAACCCCAGCACTTTAAGAGGCTGAGATGGGAGGATCCCTTGAGAACACATTTCTACTAAAAAATGTTTAAATAGCCAGGCATGGTGGCATGTGCCTGTGGTCTCAGCAACTCAGGAGGCTGAGGCAAAAGGATCACTTAAGCCCAGGAGGTAGAGGCTGCAGTAGGCTGTGATTGCACCACTGCACTCCAGCCTGGGCAACAGAGCAAGACTCTGTCTCAAAAAATAAACAAACAAAAACCAACAACAACAAAAAATAATTAAGCCAGGCTGGATGCAGTGGCTCACGCCTGTAATCCCAACACTTTGGGAGGCTGAGGCAGGCAGATCACCTGAGGTCGGGAGTTTGAGACCAGCCTGACCAACATGGAGAAACCCCGTCTCTACTAAAAATACAAAATTAGTTGGGCATGGTAGCACATGCCTGTAATCCTACTTGGGAGGCTGAGGCAGGAGAATCGCTTGAACCGGGGAGGCGGAGGTCGTGGTGAGCCGAGATTGCACCAATGCACTCCAACCTGGGTAACAAGAATGAAACTCCATCTCAAAAATAATAATAATAATAAAAATTAAGCCAGATGCTCCAAGGCTAGTAATGGAGGGAAACTTCCCTGTGAAGAGGAGACAGTTGTCGCAAAAAAAAAATCATATTCCCTTGAAAGATGTTTCATAATTACCAGCACTGCCACCTTGGCCTGGAAAAGAAAGAGGTCAGATGGGAAGGGGAAGGAAGCAGGTTAGGAAGAGGCAGTCCTCCATGGGCTGTGAGCATCTCTACATGTTTTTCTTGGGTGCACCTAGAACGCAAAGCCCTAACCACTTCTGAATGCGGAAAAACTCAAACTGCGTTGTCCTCTGCTCTCATACCACAACAATCAACACAGAAGACTTCTGTGACCAGATGTTGGCGGGGAGTCTGCACCAACAAATAAGCAATCAGTTCTGCAGCAGACACCAGCTGGGCGTCCTCCAATTCAAGTCTGTTCTGACACTATCTACCTCAAGACAGCATCAGATCCCACACGTTGAGGACTGAGTCCCACAAAACTGCCTCCTCTCTCCCCTAGACACCAGCGTCGAGCCTGGGCCTCCGAAACGTCTGACCAACTAGCTTCAATTTGGTATTCCCACAACCCCTTTTTGGGTTTGATTAATTTGCTGGACAGGCTCACAGAACTCAGAGAAACGCTTACGTTTACCAGTTTAATACAAAGGATATCAGAAAGCACACAGATGAAGAGGCGCACAGGGGGAGGTATGTGGGGAGGCGCACAGAACTGCCATACTTGCTGTAGGTCCACCACCCCTCGGAAACCTCCACGTGTTCAGCTGTCCCAGAAGCTCTCTGAACCCTGTCCTCCTGGGCCTTTTTTGGAGACTTCCTTGGATAGACATGCCTGAAGACAACCACATCAGACGGTGACTAGACAAAAAGCAGATGATCTAATACTGATAGACTGAGTGGGGAAACCCAGGAAGGCCTGTCTGTCCATATTCTCCTTGGCCTCTCTGTGCTGCATTTGTTCCTTCAGGGCATGTGGCAGGACTGTCTCTGAGATGAGGGTCTTATGACCTCCAATCAGAAAGACTGCCTTGGGGCCGGGAGCAGTGGCTCATGCCTGTAATTCCAGCACTTTGGGAGGCCGAGGCGGGCGATCACCTGAGATCGGGAGTTTGAGACCAGCCTGACCAACATGGAGAAACCCCGTCTCTACTAAAAATACAATATTAGCCGGATGTGGCAGCACA